AGTTGTTCCCCCCCACCCCGCCACCCCTCTATTATAATTGTTATTGTTACCCCATGAGAATGGGGACCTAGTTTGTCTTAGTCACTGCTGTATGACCAGTGCCTAGGGTGCAATAGATGCTCAATCAATACTTGTTAAAGGAATGACGAATAACCACAGGCTCGGGACCTTGCCCTCAGGGATGCAGAGCAGTTCCTCTGCCGCATCTGGACCACCAGCTGTTGCCATGACTACCATCTGGCTGGTACCTGCTGAGCCTAAGTCTGGGGGAACAGGAAGGAGAGAAGCGGGCTCTGCAGGGCTCTAAGCTTGGTGTCAGGCACTCCCCAGGCTCCAGCTGTGAGCGTCCAGGCACCCCATCTAGGGCTTGGACCACCAGCCTGAAAGCCAGTGCCTTGGACAAAGTTTCTCCAATAATGCTCTTGCAAGTGAATGTGAGCTGTGGGTTTTGCAGTGGAGTTAAAAGCATGAGTTCTGCAATGACAGAGATTGGAGTTCTGGTCTCGTCTCTATTGCCACCTGCCTTCTCTGGCAATTGATTTTTATCTGTTCGAGCCCTGGTTTCCCCAAAGGCAAAATGCAATTGTTCCTACCTCACTGAGTGGTTGCCAGGTTTCAGTGAGGCCAAGCATGTAACATGCTTGGCACACTGCCTGAGGCCAAGTAGGCACTATTCATTAGTAGTAATAATTCATTATTTATCAACATGGCCCCAGTTCTTATTCAGCTCTTTTCTCCCTCCTGTCCACATGGACACCCCTGCTTCCCTATCTTGATAAAGCCTGAGACCCTCCTAGTTACTGTGCCCATTGCTTTGGGATGCCATCAACCTGTTCTCTCTGCCTTTTTCCACATTCTTTGGAGGCTTACCAGGTGGGTTTGGCCTCTTATCCCGGTTCTTCACCTCTGAGGTACATCTGGGAGGCTGAGGTAAGAGACTTAAGTGGAAACAAGAGAAAATTTGCCTTTTCTGGCCACTTGGGGGCACCACCACCTACTGTGGTCCAGTCTGCTAAACCAGCCTTTCAGAGAGCCAGGTGCTAGGGCCCAGGAATTTGGGCTTTGCTTGGATGGGAGAGAGACACTGAAGCTCAGGCCTGTGGCCTTTGGGCAGTTTTGGCCCTTTTAATCTAGTTTTCTTATCTATAAAATGGGAATAATAACATGTCATATAGTCATTGGGAGGGTTAAGCCTGATAATCCATGCACAGCACCTACATGGATTAGCTCCTGTCATTATCATTATTACCATTCTTCATTTCACTCTCTGCCAAAACTTGGCACAGCCCCAAACAGATGGAAGCCTCTTATTTCTAAAGAGGCTCCTCTGTTTCTCACTAGCGCCCCCTTCAACTTGGCTTGATTCAAGAAACTTGCATTGAGCTTCTAGTCTATGTCAGGCTTGGGGCAGGACCCTGGTGATGGGGACTATAGAGAGGTGACCACCACCGTCCCTACCCTAGAGATCTCAAAGCCGAGTGATGAGCAGATCCCCTTTCTCCCAAATAACAGAGAGGCAACGTGATAGGGCTATGCAACAGAAATGCGGAAGTGGAGCCACAGGCCTTTTGTAGTGCTGAGATTTTGAATAAGTTATATATGCACACAGCACACATTTCACAGGGTACAAAGGGGCATGGAACGAAAAGGAAGTCTCCCTCCCACCCTGTCTCTCAGCCCATAAAATCTTCTCGGGTTAAATATAGTTACCAGTTTTGTGTGTGTCCTTCTAGATAAATTCTTTGCCTATATATTCCTTTAAAACACACGCACATATTGTGTAGACATTATACACACAGTTTTGTCTTTCTTTTTTTGCTCAATATATGTTGGCGATGTTTTTATGTCAGTCTCTAAGGAGCTGCGTCATCTTGTTTGTAGGGTTTCTCAGCCTTGGAACTGTTGACATTTGGGGCAGTGGGGACTGTCCTGTGCACTGCAAGGTGTTTAGCAGTGTCCCTGGCCTCTCCTTTCTAGATGCCAACCTCACAGAGTCATCCCCACTCCCCACCCTCATTTGTGACAGCCAGAATGTCTCCAGATGTTACCAAATGTCCCCTTAAGGGCAAAACCACTCTTGATTGAGAACTGCTACTGCGTAGGATCCCATGGTTTGGATGGCACTGTAGTTTATTTAACCAGGTCCCTTTCGATGGACACTTACCGTGTTTCTCATTTTCACTATGACCGACAGTGTTGCAATGATGACCCACATGCACACATTTTTACGCATGTGTGTATATTGAAGGGCTAACTTCCTCACTGCAGAACTACCTTGGTCAAAGGATTTGTATTTTGTACTTTTTGGCAGGTAGGGTCAATGTCTTAGAGGAGGCACATTCTTTTTGGGAAGATCCACCTGACTGTTCCTGGGGTACAGGCTCCTTTGAGAGTACCATGAAAGTGACTGCTCCTCTTTCCAGGAAAAGACACACAATGAGATGCCCATTCATTCCCCTGCCATAGCACTGTGTTCCAGGACTCAAGGATGCTCAGTCATGTTTAAATTCCCTACAGTAGTTGAGGGGACCCCGTGAAGAATTGCCACACCAGACAATCAGAACCAAAAGGTGTTTAAGTGAGGGCAGGCTGAGCAGTGGAGGGAGAGGCCGAAGCTGGGAGAGGTAGTCCAGGGGAAAAGGCAGGAGAAAAGGCATGTGGAAGGGACATGCTGGTTGGGGAAACAGCTCGGGGTGTAGCTGGAAAGTGTGGAAAGTTTTGCTTCTTTTTTTCCTCAAGGCATAATTTACATACAGTAGAACTCACCGTTTTCCTGTGCACACGCCTGTGAGTTCTGACAAATGAATACCTGTCGTGTAACTGCAGCCGCGACCAAGACAGAACATTGCCATCGACCCCCAAAATTCTTCCATGCCTTCTGTAGTTAAGCCCACCTCCAACCCCAGCTACTGGCAACCAACCACAGATCTGTTCTCTGTCGCCAGTTTTGCCACTTCCAGATTGTCATTCACATGGAACCATGCGGTCTGTAGGCTTTCGAGCTTGCCTTCCTCCGCTCAGCTGGAGACATCTGAGATCCATCCTTGGTTGCCGCAAGGTTACAGGAGTTCATTCAGTTTGCTGAAAAGAATTCCAGTGTTTGGATGCGCCACAGGTTGTTTAACCATTCCCTAGTCGAGGGACACTGGTTGTCTGCGGTTTGGGGTGAAGATGAATAACCACGCCACGTTTTAGAGCTGGGGAATGACCTGGTTAGGACTAGTATTTGCAGGTGCGCAGCCAGCCCCGGGGGTGGGGAGGGACTGCAGTCAGCTGGAGCTGAGCTCACCAGCCCTCCCGTCTGCTCTCCCTGCGCTGGGTACAGCCACGCCGCGCCGGGCACAGACTCCGGCAAGGGCTTCTGCATGTTCTACGCGCTCCTGGGCACCCCCCTGACGCTGGTCACCTTCCAGAGCCTGGGCGAGCGGCTGAACGCGGTGGTGCGGTGCCTCCTGCTGGCGGCCAAGCGCTGCCTGGGCCTGCGGCGGCCGCGCGTCCACAGAGAACCTGGTGGTGGTCTGGCTGTGGCGTGCGCCACCACCCTGGCCCTTGGGGCCGTCGCCTTCGCGCACTTCGAGGGCTGGGCCTTTTTCCACGCCTACTACTACTGCTTCATCGCCCTCACCACCATCGGCTTCGGCGACTTCGTGGCGCTGCAGAGGAAGCCCCCCTACGTGGCCTTCAGCTTCCTCTATATCCTCCTGGGGCTCGCGGTTATTGGCGCCTTCCTCAACCTCGTGGTCCTGCGTTTCCTTGCTGCCAGCTTGGATGGGTCCGAGCACGCGGCCCGCGGCCCCAGCCCGCGCCACCAGGGGGCGCTCGAGAGCCGCGGCCCCACATTGCCCCGCCGCCCGGCAGGCTCCGGCGGCTCAGCCTCTGTCTCCTGCCACGTGCACCAGCTGGAGAAGTGCGTCCGCCACAACCTGGGCTTCTCACCCTCCTCGAGCACGGGGGTCGTGCGCGGCAGGCAGGCACCCAGGCCTGGGGCCCAGCGGAAATCCATCTGACAACCCCACCCGGGTTGGGTTGAATCTGAAACGGGAGGGTCTGGCTTCAGCTATCCAGGCACCCTCCCCAGGGATTGGAGACATATGAGGGGCCTCCGGACAGTCTTCAGCTACACACAATTTCTCATTACCTTCTGTGGCCAAGTCCCCTCCCTCCTCTCCAAAAATATATTACAGTCACATCATAAGCACAAACCAGGCTCGAGGGTCACCCTGTTGCAGCAAACTCCTTGTAATCCAAATTGCATGAGGGAGTGGCCACATCAGCACCTGGGCGAGGCTCTGCACAGGTGCATGCCAGAGTCTTGCTCTAGAAAGGCCCTCTAGAGCAACTTTTCTGTTGTGAAGAGGCTGGTTTTCTGAGTCGCAGTTGAAATGTGCAACTTTCAACACTGGAATCTTCGCTGGAATTAGTGAGGTCAGATGCTTACCCTACAAGAAGCATGGGGAACAAAGGTGGACCAAATGGGACAGTGTACAGTCCAGTGTGGACAAGTGGGTCAGTATCTGCACTTCTTAAACGATCTCTCGTTCCCTGCCCAGTGTGTAGAGTAGAATCAGCCCATGTGTGAATGATGGCCTCTTTCCCCCATACGGCTGATGCTCTTTGTGGCCAGCCCCACTTCGGGACGAGGAAGGCCTTGCTGTCACCACCCACCATGTCACTGGGGCCACCTGGACACAGCAGAATGCCATGGAATGAGCTCTCTTCTGCGTCACGTCAATCACCAGCAATGTGACCTTGGAGAATTGCATCCCATCCCAGGACCTCAGTTTCCACATCTGTAGAACAACTGGGTTCATCCAGAACCCTGCTCCCTGTTGTGCATCTCTAACAGGACTTTCTGGAGCAGGTCCCTGCACCATAAGGGGGCAGAGACAAAGCCTGAGGTGTGGCATCCTGGCACCCTGTGGCACTCAGCCCCTCCAAACACCCCCTTCCCTTGGCTTCCCAGACAGGACTGTCTCAACAAAAAGCATGAGTGAGCCAGGTTAGAAAAGCCAAAAACTTTAATTTTTAACATGAGCTACATGGTCATGAACACAATGCAACGTGACCCCACTCCAACCCAGGGGCCCCAGAAACCCTCCCTCCCTAAAGGCCTGGTTGGCTTCTGCTTTAAGAGAAGGAATGAGGGAAAGGTGGGTGGATGGAGAGGCTCCCAGCCTGAGGACCTGGGTCCTGCCTTCCCGCCACTCGCCCAGGAGGCAGTCAGAGAGTGAAAGGGCTCCAGAGGTGATGCCACAGCCCTGGGTTTGGCTCCACTCTGACCTCACAGAAGCGCTGGGTTAGACGGGCACCATCAGCCCACCCCACAGGCTTGGCATCGGGTGAGCTCGTGGACGTGAATGCTTTCCATCCACACTGAGGTGCTGCTCCACAGACATGGGGCCCTCCCAGAGGGCCTTGGAGTCACCATGGGGGAATGGGGAGGGGACTCCATCCCAGGGCCTGACACAGCACTGCTGCTCAATAAATAAATGCAGGTGACCTTGCCTGACGCAACAGCTGTGCCTCCAGAGGGGGTGAGCTTCGGTGCTGTTTCTGACACGGAGATGCACCCAGGAGCTCCTGGCTAAAGGAACTGGATCTTGAATTGGCTTTTGAAGTGCACAACCACCCCCTAAGATATCGGCTCCATCTCTGAGTGTAAAAGAGTGAACTCTGGGCTGCTGGAGAACCAAGCTCCAGTGCTGCCCACCCACTAACACAGTGGGACCTGAGGCAAGCACCTTCCCTCCCAGGACCTCAGCTGCCTGCTCTGAATCAGGGATGATGGCACAGGCCACACCTACTCCCCAGTGGCTCTTGTGAGGGCCAAAGGGCACACTCGAGGTAAAAGCATTCTGAAAACCAAGTCTGCAAAGCACAACAGGAAGGCCAGGTCTCACTGCATCTGAAGGTTTGGGGAGGACTTCCCTAAAATGAGGCGCCCACAGCTGCTCCCATTCGCTCACTGCCCCAGGCAGGAGCTGCCGTTTCCTAACTCTCTCCAGTTGGTCCTGCAGAGGCTATGGCCCCTTAGCAGGAACCTCCACCCAGGCATCAAGGTCTGGACCCCATCCTGTGTAACCTCAGTCAGCTGGGCCAGCCCCACAGGATAGCTGTCTCCCTGGCAACCTCTTCCCCCTACCCAGGCCCAGAGAAGTCACTGGCTTATAGAGATGGAGCCCAGCAGGGCTGTGCAGCCAGGGCATAGAGGCCAGGAATCCTTGTCCCAGCAGACACACCCTGGAGCAACATCTCCTGTCGCCTGAAGCACAGTGGAGCCCCTTATTTTTCCCCCTTTGCGCCTTTGCTGAGGGGTCTTGTGTGAGTCACTTCCTGTTTCTGGGCCTCGGTTTCCCAATTTCTCAGATGGGCTACAACTTGTCCTGCCCATCTTTTGGGGGCCAGTAGGCTTCAAAAAAAGAAGGGAGAAGGAGGTGTGGGCCCCACCTCACACTGCCCTGGCTCCGGCTCAGCCTCTGTTGGGAGGAGGGGGCCCAGGCTGGGGATGCCACTGAACACACAGGTGATTCCAGGGGTGGCTTTTCCCCCAAGCTGGGTCTTGATTTGTCTGTAAAATGGAAATGGACTAATGGTCCCAAAGGCCCTTCCCCTTTACTATGCAAAGGGGGTTCTAGAGAAGGAAAGTGGAGATGGCTCCTTCCCGTGGTATCCTGCGTGTGATCTTGGCCCAGGGATTGAAAAAAGTCACTCCCTGGGGGCCACAGCCCCTTAAGGGCCCCCAGTGCCACCCTCTCTGCTCCTCTTCAAACAGTACAGCCTGAGTCAGCAAGGGGCCAGGCAGCAGTGGGGACAGGATGGGCTTGAAGCTTCTCCAAAGCTAATGATGAAAACGTCACTCCCCTCCCCAAACCCCCATCCCTTGGTGACGACAGACCGTGGTTCCCACACCCAATGGTCACAGCCCCTGGGAAGGGGGCACATGCTCACGATGATACAAAGAAACAGGGCTCCAGCCCCCAGCTGCTCCACCCCTCCAGGAGGTGAGCGAGATTTCACAGAACAAACAAGAAAATCATTGAGGGGGCTCTCATTGACCACCCCCAGGTGTTGTTATTGCTTCGGAGCTCTCTCTCTCTTTATGAAGGCTGTGCAGACACCAGGGGAAGGGCTCAGGCTGTCAGGGCCAAGCCCCTGCTCCCTCTGGTTGAGACAGCCAGAGTCTGCCCTGTTTTTGAAGAGCTACCCCTGAACCACCACAGCGACGATGGCTGGAGAGAGAAGGTGCTCTCCTGGCTCAAAATATTCCAGTGGTGAATAATAAACGAATAGCAGAGAAATCACACTGGTTAAAAAAACAAATAGGCGAGAGGCTGATTCTGCGCCTTGAATGCCAGTCCCTCCAGAGCCCTGCTCCTTCCGTCCCCAACCTTGGGATTCCACCCGTCACAATCCCAGGAAGCTCTGAAGACCTCCTGGGTAAGGGAGCATCTCCATCTCCACTTCCCAGTGCAGGGTAAGCAGCTCTGTGGAGGTGACATACATCAACCAGAACTTTAAAGGATACCCAGGGCTTACATAGGCTAAGGGAAGGGAAGAATTTCCAGGTAGAAGGAGTCACCTGGTGGGACAGGGGCCAGGACCAGGACCAGGACCAGAAAGGGGGTGGGACCAAAGGCAGCCTGGGTGTCCTCAGGGGAAAATGACACCCTCCAATGGAGACCAGGCCCCCTCTGCCAAGGTCCTACAACCCTCAGGAGTGCCTCATAAAGAAAGTCAGTACCAAGAATAATAAATCAGAACATCTGAGTATAACAGGCAGCTCCAGCTATAACCCTACAGGGGAGAAGGGGAGGAAGGGGAAGGAGGAGGAGAGGCTGGCCTCCCGTGAGCCAGGCTGCCCCATCTAGGCCCAGGCCAGCGAGGAGACAGTGGTCTCCTGGAATGTACGTGAGTCTCCTCTCCACCCCTGTCCTGGGACTTGGCAAGGACTATGCATGAGCTAAGAACGGGCCCCAGGGCTTGGAACACTAACTCTACCTAGCTAACCCAGACTACGCCCTACACAGCAGGGACTAGGTAAAGAGTGGCAGGCTTCTGGGTGCCTCCCAGGGGAGGTGGCAGAAATGTGCTTCTATCAAGAGGGGCCAGCCTCCATCCTCCCTTGCATGCAAAAGGGTTCCCGCAGGCCCCAGGGAGGGCTGGGCTGAGAAGGCAGCTACCCAGGCCTGCTGGAAAAGGAATCTCCCAGTTCTCACATGCACGTCTCTTCACTCTTTCTCTCCTATCACCATCTTTCCTTCAGCCAAGGTAACTGAGGCCGGGGCAGTGCGTTCTGCCCTTAGTATAGGATGGTTTGTTTAAAAAGACTAAAATGGGGGGCTCTGTTTTCCTCCCCAGACCCCTGGCCTGGAGGCAGAAGGGGTAGACAAGATAACCTTCGACCTCATCTAACAAGGAGGGGTCCTCCAATTTGAGAAACCCTTATCTTGGCACCACCAGTCCCAATCCCAACTTTCCTTAGCCTCCCCCTCCAATACAGCACCCTCCGAACACTCTCTAGGGCTGGGGTCTGGAAACTCAGGTTCCACGGCTCCTCCGCCAGAACCACAGACAACATTCTTTCCAGTCCACCAATGGTTCCCAAACTAGCTTGTTGTGACCCCTGGAGTGAGGCACCTAGGGGTCTGTGCCAGGCCCCTGGTACCTCCTCCTTTCCTTTGGTCCCTGCTGAACCCCAATTCCTAGAGCCACCAGAAGAAGGGCAGGCAGGAGGGGACGGACAGATGGACTCGGACAGGCTGCGGCAAAGCTCCTTCCACGGGCAGGCAGAGGGAAGCCCAAGCTCCTCTTCAAGTGGGGACTCTGGGCCCCCAGGAGCTAGCTCCGGATCCTTGCAAAGCTGCCCCTTCATCTCTGGGGCAGGAGTAGCTGCCTGAACCGGGTGCCGCAGGAAAGACACTTGCTGGTAATTGGCACCATGGAGATGGCCGGCTGGGTTCTGGACTTGGCTCTGGGCAGCAAGCTTCCGAGGAGGCAAAAAGGGGGAAAAGTTGGACAGAGTCTGGGACGGGAGAGTGGTCTGCTCTGCCACCTCAGTCTTTCCTTTCTCCACACTGCAGCCACATCCACCAGGTCAAGAACCGGCCAAGTCAAAAATGTAGCCAATCCCGTTGGGAGAGGGAAGGTCTCAGGGGGTAGGAGGCAAAGAAGGGGTGAGGAGGGGCCCAAGGGGGGCAGGTCTCCCCATTCTGCTTCCCCACTGTGGGGGAGAGCCCCGTCCTCCTGTTCAATGTGCCCCTGGGCCTGGGGTCCCAGGTCAGGGCTGGGTGGTCTCCAGGCCATCTTGGGGAACCCCTCCCCATCCCAGCACTAAGATCGCTCTCCGCAGGGCCCCACGGTGCTCTCGAGGGACAACTGGGATGCCTGCCGGAGCAGGGGGCCTGTGGCTGGGTCCACCATGGAGGAGGTGGGGAAGAGCTTGTACCAGCCCACAGCCAGGGTGGTCAAGTCCAGCTCCTCCAGCAGCACGCGGGCCACACCCATGAACTGCTTCCGCTCCATCCGCCCGTAGTTCCCCCACACGATCACCTGCAGGGTTTAAGAGACACAGTGGTTCAAACCCCGCCAGTGCCACTCACAGGCCCAGAAGCAGAACCTGGATCGTCCCCCATGCCTAATCCATCTCAGTCCTATGATTTCTACCTCCTTAAAACTGCAATTCCTCAACAGGCCCTTCTTATCACTGGGCACCACGCCAAGACCCTGGCCTCCAGAAGTTGTTGATGGTGATGAGGGTGGTGATGGTGATGACGGTAATGGCAGCCATGGGCAGAGCACTTGTGTAGGCAAAACTGCAAGAACTTTTCCTGCACACAAGTACACATTCCACTGGCAGCAGAATGTTATCAGGTAGGTACTATTAGGGTCCCCACTTTACAGATGAAGTGACTGAGGGTCCCTTGTTCAAAGTTGCACAGTAAGTTGTGGAGCTCAGTTCAGCCACAGTGAACTGAGGGCCTCACCTATTTCCTCCAGGTGAGGCCCTCCAGAGACACCTCCGCCAGGGGTGCCCTCCTCTCACTCACACACACACACACACACACAAGAGCGCACCACCGCCCCTCACCTGGAGGACTTTGCCCTGGGGACTCTCGGGAAACAGCAGCACCTGGTTATACAGTGGATCCAGGGACTTGCGAGCAACTTTGGTCTTCTTCTTGGCAATGCAGACGCCATTCTCTAGCAGGTAGGCCTTGATGTAGGCCGCTGGGGACAGAGGCCAGCAGGGGTGAGTTCTAGTTTGGCCCTTAAATGGTGGGCAAAGGGTGCAACACAGGGAGGTTGCCCACCCTCTGCTGGAGATAGGTGTGCCCCCATGGAGTCTGGGGAGGACACACAGGACACATGGGGGGTGGGCAGGTACAGCTAGGCTTGGGTGTAGCCTGTCGTACCCCTCTGGTGGTCATCACTGCCTCCCCTTCCTTAGCTTACTCTGTGCTCACCTCCTTCCTCTCTCAGTCTACGACACGCCTACCCCCTCCCTGGCTTATACATCCACTGCTGACCCACTCACTCACGAAGCCTGAGCACCTATTGCATGCCAGGTACCCTGGGGTAGAACGATAAGCAGGGAAGATGGTCCCTGCCTTCCAGGAGCTCAGTCCAGTGGAGGAGAGGAACAAGGTCAACAGATAATCTCAACTGGGTCACCAGATAAACCCTAAACTACCAGTTCCACGTTAAGATGTTAAGAGTTGGGACAGGGGTTCCCCACAGTTGGGCCCAATTTTCTCTCTTCAAGGCCCTTGGTACCCATCAGGATCTCCTCCCTAACCTCCACCCCCACCTTGCAGAGGGAGGGTAGGCCCCACACCTGGCAGTGTCTTAGAGCCTGGCTTGGCTGTCAGTCCCCGAGCTTGGATAATGTCCACTTCCAGCTGACCGTTCCGCTCCTGCAAGCCGATCTCCACATCCCCTGCAACAGGCACCAAGAGATGAGACTGGGAAATGGCTCAGAAGCTCAAGCCTCTGAGGCGACTCAGCTCCTCCCCTCTGCTTAGGGCTGAAACCCCTTTCCCTGCTCCCAACCCAGAATAAGACCAGAACCAACTCCCACCAAGTGCCTGGGCTCTGTTGAGGGCTTGAGAGTGTGGCCTGGGCCCTAGGCTGCATGCTCACAGGATGGATCAACAGGCAGAGGGGAAGGAGGGAGAGACGCTGGGCTTCTGGTATGACCCCATCTCCCCTAGTCCCTTTGAAATCAGCCTTGGGGCACTCACCCATGGGTGTGGTGGCCAGGGTCTGGCGGCCCACAAACTGTGCCGGCCCCATGCTTCCCAGGAAGTCACTGAATTGGGCATCTGATGCCAGGCAAACTCCTCCATAGTTAAGGCTGCATGAGGAAAAAATGAGAAAAAAACCACACATTCCCAGTGGTTGACTGACAACTCTGGACTCAGGCAGTCAGCTCCAGAACATCCCTCATTCCATGGCAACATGTGTCCACATCCATCACCCTTCCTCTCCTCGCTAAGTCTTATGTTCAACCTCCCTGAAATGGATATGCTGATACTTCCCTTTTGGGGTGGAGACAAGGTTTATCCAGTAACCGGCTCATGTGGTTTAGTGCTTTGATTCTCGAAGTGTGGTTCAGAGGCCAGCGGCATCAGCATCATCTGGGAACTAAGTTGATACACAGAACTGCGCTCCACTCCTCCCCCAGCCGCTGAATGAGAATCTGAATTTTCACACAAGCCCGTGGTGAAGCACTTGCACGTGGAAGTCGTGTGGGCTGCACGGGCCCAGCGGCTCTGGATTCTGACGGGTGCATTTCTTACTGCTGCTTGGCCACCTGATATCCACTTCCCCTTTCTCTGGTAACAAGATCTCAAATTTTCTTTGGGGAGCCCCCTCCCCATGGCATATGATCACAGTGGGGTGGACTGACCAGCTCCAGAGACTGGGCCTGCAGCTCAGCCTGGTCAATCAGGGCATCCCTTCCCCTTAGCCAGTGATCAGCTCAAAGGCTGGCACGTGGCCCAGTTCAGCCAACAAGAATCAGGCCTGGGAACTTTGTTTGAACTATGGGGAGTGCCTGAGATGCAGGACAGGAGCTTCTAGCGCTATGTGGCTACAATCTGGATCCCAAGAATGAAACCATCAAAATGACAGCATTGTGTGAGCTCCTGGATCAAGCTCTGCCTGAAGCAAGCTACTTCATCTTTTGGTTATGTTAAGTCAGTAACAACAACAACAAAGATAATTTTATTATGTTGCTTAAGACAGCTTTAGTAAGTTCTCCCCACTCCCTTCACTTCTTTAAGTATCTCTTTCCCATCTGTGAAATGGAAATAATAATGTTCCCATCTCCTGGGTCTGTAGTGCTAAGTGAGATGAGGCACTAAGTACCATGCCTCATGTGCCCCTGTTATCCTGAGGACCAAAGGACTTGCAACCCATTTTCATCTGATTCTTGCCACAACCATAGGAGGTTGTTTTTTGTTTGATTGGTTGGCTGGTGTTTTTTGAGACAGAGTCTTGCTCTGTTGCTCAGTCTGGAGTGCAGTGGCACGGTCTTGGCTCACTGCAGCTTCGAACTCCTGGGTTTCAGGGATTCTCATGCCTCAGCCTGCTGAGTAGCTGGGATTATAGACAAGCACCACCATGCACGGCAAATTTTTGTGTTTTTAACAGAGACAGGGTTTCATCATGTTGGCCAGGCTGGTCTTGAATCCCTGGCCTCATATGATCCATCCATCTTGACCTCCCAAAGTGCTGGGATTATAGGCGTGAGCCATCAAGCTAGCCCAGGAGGTTGGTTTTTGATCTTTATCACCATCATTTAGATAAGAAACACATTTGCCCAGCAAAATGGTGACCCTGTTCCCTAGCCAGAGCTGATGAAAACAGAATTAGAGGCTTAACCCAGCCAGGCCAATCAAAACCTCTCTCTGAGAAATAAAAAAGTAAATCCCAGACACAAAATGTCACAAGAACTGAGTCACATAAATGGCCTGCCCTCATGCAAAACCCATAAACTCTACTAGCTACCCAGACCTGGCTGCCCAATTCTTTCCTCAACCATGTGAGGTCCCCCGGTGTTCTGTTTTTATTCAAGTTATCTGCAGAGTTAATGGCAGAATATTCCGCCTGAGTGCTTTTCCTTTTCATGATTTCCTACCACCCCTGGCCTGCTTTCCCCATTCAGACAGTAGCTAGTGTCTCCTGCCTCAGGGAAGGAATGACACCCAGCAGGAAGCAGAGAACAAGACTTGGATTCTTGACTTTTCAGTTCCAAAGCTAAGAAACAAACTTGAAAGAATAGGTACAAAACTAGGCTATTCTGTCCTGAAACAGACAAACCCTCAGCCTGGGAGAGCAGAGGAAGCCAGGCAAGGAGGGAAGAGCTGAGATGCTGCAGGATACTTGAGGAAGGTCTGTAGTCCCAGTTGGTGAGTGCTGGGGGATGACAGGAAACTCCAGATAGGCTGGGGGGATTGGAAAGCAGGGGAGACTTGCACTCACCCTTCTTATTGTGTGGAGCTAAGAAAAGGACACAACACTCTACAGAAATGGGTGCTTGGGCGTCCTGTCAAGTGACCCACTGGGAGATCTCTGAGGTTCTCTGTACGTCCCTCTGCACCCTAGAGAGGAGCATATGATCCAGGTGCACTGGAGAGAAGAGCAGATCATAGAGGCCTGCCGGTCTGGACAAAGAGAAGTAGCTGAGACCAGTGGGAAACAATGACCAAGGAGCAGACAGTAAGATCACGTTCCAGGAGACACCAGGATGATGGATGATGATTGAGGACCACACACTCTGTCCCCAGTGTCTGGGCAGCACAATAATAGCAGCCAATGTTACTGGACACGAGCCCTCACTGGCATTCAGCGGGTACACCAGGTGTAATGGCCAGCATCCATCTGATCTGTTCATTCATCCAACAAATGTTTACCAAGCACATACTATGTGCTCTATTGTGTCCAGGCACTATTCTGGACCTGGAGTATGTCAGTGAACAGTGATTCCTGCCCTTGAGGTGCTTAGATTCTAGTGGAGGGAGACATATTACACACAACTAATATCATAAACAATACAGTATGTTAGAAGGCGATAAATGATAGAAATCTTAGGAAAAAATAAATAGAAAATTCATGTGCGGGGGGGTGTGTGTGGGCTGCAGTATGAAAGAGTGTGATCAGTAGCTATGACCTGTGCTTCTTATTAAATACTTTGACTGTTACCCTAGGCCTGGTCTAGAAATTTACATGGATTCTCTCCACATAAATTTCCCCAGGATACAGGCATAACCCTTGGGAAAATTCTGAACCAAGTGAGTTTAAGTTTTCAGCAAACAGAGGACACGGGGGACTTGATACAGAGATTAGTAACAGGGAACTCCCAGTGCTCACTAAATGCCATGAATGTCAAAGTGCTCTACACTTATGAATTCATTTCAGCCTCACAACAACTCTATGAGGTCAATATTATTCTTGGGCCCATTTTATAGATGAGCTGGAGAGTTAAGAAACCTGCCCAAATCACAGAGGTACTGCACAGCCCTGCCCTACCCCTCAGCACGTACCTCTACCCTCCGAGGCTGCCTGCTCTCATACCTGCCATGAGGTCTGAGGGCTTATTTTCTAGTTGTGAGAATTCCGAATTTTGCTGGGAGAGAAAATTTAGCCTGTGGCACAGGGCAGGCTGGAAGCGCCTGAGGGTTCATGTCCCAGAAGCAGCCCCCACCCAGTGAGACGCTGGGAGTCTGCAGTGGGGATAATGCTGGTGAATGTTCAAGCAGCCTCCCAAGGCTCCCCAGTGGGGCTGAGCTCCAGCTGCCCTTAGTGGCAGCAGTCTTGAAATAGCAACTGTTATTAGCTCCCTTCCTTTCCTGTCCCATTCCTTGTGGCTCCACACTGGGGATTCCTGGGATGGCCTGCCAAATAACCAATTTCCACTTGAATCTTTGAGTCAGGGTCTGCTCTGGAAGAAGCCAAACCAAGACAGAAGCTGAGTGGTATCTGAACCCAGAGAGTCAGGCTTCCAAGTCTATTATCTTAACAATTATGTAACAATGGTTTTTTTTTAATAGAGAGAAAGAAAAAAATAAAGTCACTTAAGTGTCTAGGGACTGAAATGTGTACCCACTATTCTTGCAAAACCAAAGATCCTTAATTGACAGCACCGAGGCTATGATCTAGACCAGTGGTCCCCAATATTTTTGGCACCAGGGACCAGTTTCATGGAAGGCAATTTTTCCTTGGACTGGGGCAGGGAGTCGGGGGATAGCTTCAGGATGAAATCAGATCATCAGGCATTAGTTAGATTCTCATAAGGAGCTCACAACCTAGATCCCTCTCATGCACAGTTCACGATAGGGCTCATGCTCCTATGATAATCTAACTCGGTCGCTGATCTGACAGGAGGCAGAGCTCAGGCAGTAATGCTTGCTCTCCTGCCCACTGCTCACCTCCTGCTGTGCCGCCCGGTTCCTAAAAGGCCATGGACCAGTATCCACGGGGGGACCCCTGGAGTTGGGGACCCCTGACCTAGAATCTTTCACACTGGTGACATGGCCTTTCCTCCATGTCCCTGGGTCTCTTTTCCACCCTACCCTCCCAGTCATCTGGGGGTCCAGGCTCCATTTTGTAAGGAGAGTCTGGGCTCCAAAAGCCTGAGAAATGATGGGTGTCTCACAGATTCCAGGCATGGAAGGAGTGCAGCCTCCCAGGCAGAGGGAGGCCTTCTGCAGCCTGAAATTGAAAGTTTCCTCCAACATCATCATTGTCTGCTCCTCAATTCCTGGTGGGACTGTGAGCAGACAATGGGGAACTGGCAGGCCTGGTAATTAGTGGTAATTGTTTATAATATCTGGGCGGCTGCCTGATTTCCTATCCCAGGGAGCCTTGCTGGCTGCCAAGGAACCCGGCTGACGCCCCAGAAACCCTGAATGAGTTATCATGTCCTCCTGGGGGCTGGAGGAAGGAGGAATAAAGTGGTCAGACATCCAACTGCATCAGAGACCTGACTCCACTTTGGGGTCTTCCCTGGAGTATGAAAGAAGGCAGAGGCCACAAAATCAAACCTGCCTCTACTCCTCACTAGCCAACTGCTTGCTGTGTGAACTCCGACAAGCTGTTATTGTCTCTGCATTTTGATGTTCTTATCTGCAAACAAGATCACACTGCCTCACGGACAGTGTCTGGCCATTTAGTTGGCCAGTGCCTGTGCTGTCCTAGTTTCAAATGTTTTTCAAAATCTCTGCTTACGGCATCCATGAGCACAGGGGCATAAAAGAGCTTACTGAATTAAGGGCTGCATACGTGCTACAACTTGGACAAGTTCTCACATGTAACAGGAGCTCAATAAATGTTCACTGCCAAGGCCTACAG